AAAACTGCAAATCGCCTTTTGCATTAGGAAACAATTCTCAGTCGTCGACGTGTTAAATGGGGCAGTCCACTTGAACAGCTCTAACCCGAGAGTTCTGATAACATGCCTGATAGCGTTATCAGTGCCACATACGATCATTGTCTAGGTTTTTATCAGGCTTATAAGGCTAGCATTAGCCTTAATGACAAGTTAAGGACAACACAATAATACATACGCTCCCTGAAAATAGTTACTTCCCTCTATCTCAAAAATACTGCACTGTTGAGAAGTGCTATCCTATACGGCGTAAGGCAAGCGACCGCGAGGAGCCTCAAAGAAGAGGTGGAGGGACGTGATCAAGAAGGACCTAAGTGAAGTCACGGCCACAGCAGAAGATGCCCTGGACAGAGCAAAGTGGCGACGACTGACAAAGACAGCGGACCCTGCGACTGCGCGGGACTAACGCTAGGGAGAAGAAGACTATCCTGAACAATCTAAATCTCCAAAAAAAGCCAGCTTTGAAAATAATGAAAGGTGGATAAAATCCCATTCCCAAACGGGTATGCTTATTACATTCCATGTTCTGCGCCCTAGGCCCCCAGCAGATGGAACAAGTTCACGTTGACGACGCTAGCCAACTGCTCGTGCAGCTGCAGACTTGACGGACGGACAAGGAGTTCAGTTTGGCTTGGCTTCGGATCGTCCTCTTGATTTCCTCTTCATTGGTGCTTCACTCATAGTTGGCCTTTTAACACATTCCATTCATCTAATGAACCCCCGTAGCGCTATAAGTGGATAACTTTTACTGTACTTCTGTAGGAGGTAATATCAAAGAATTTTCATCTTCCAGGAAGTCGTAATCGGTAAAATTGGTAAGATAGAATCAGCGACTTGAATGCCAGGTGACCCTTTGAAATAGTTGTATTTGCCGAATAAGCCTTCAATCGCATGCCAAATCGTCAGCTGGAGCCGGATGTGTGGCGTATCCATACCAGGGCTGAAATATTGACTGGTATGGGGACTGCGAAAAGGAGCTTCACAGTCCTCCGATTCAATCTTTTTGGCCTAAGCGGGCTTCGCGTACTGTCTCTATAATTGGGTAGTGCCTACATATTTTGGAGGAGGAAGCACTGAATAGTGAAGTGATCGGCGGCGCAGCTGACATTAATCTATAGAAAGAAGTGAAAGCATTCTCAAGCTCCTGCATCCAATTTTCGTGTGTAAAAAAGTGTACGCATACCTCTTTCCCATTCTGTAAGATTTGCACTTGTCGGGACTGGAAATATTCCAGTTAAGAATCGAAATTGCCGGCTTTTTGAACAGCACAATTGCATTCCCGGCAATTCCTACCGGTTAAAGGAATCTTGCGCGGAAAATTCTTGCACTCTTTCCTAACATGAATATGTCAGTTGTGATCACTGGAAATAGCACACAAAGTTTCACGCATGAAGATTCGGTTTCTGAAGAGAAACAAACGTACAAAAACTACACGTTATGGACCATCGAAGGACCAGGAGGCAGAGCCAGGCGAGGCATGGAAAGAAGACGGCGTTTGGCCGGCTACGTACCAGGCGACGCAATGAGAGAATCGGGTTAAAGCGCGCGATTTCGGAGAGTGGAGACAAATCGATCGATGGAATAGGATGGAGTAGAAGTGTAAGATGTGAATGCAACGAAGCAGAAGGCCAGAAAGAGCTTCTAGTGAATGCACTCCAAGAACCAAGTTTGAGCATCCCCGTCGCCAGCATTCGTGAAAGACGTCCGTGGGCAATTCGAACGCGTAGCAGCCTTTTCGAGTTTTCGAATTTCTAATCAAAACGAAAGCAATACTTCAGTTCTTTTCACTATTATCGTGGATAATGAGTCTCAAGCCAGTGATTTATGGCTGAAATAGAATCATGATTTTTCCGCGCAAGATTCCTTTAACCCCTTCCGCGTCCGGTAAAGCCGATTCATAGCAGTCCCCTGAACACCAGGGCACCCCTGGCGATACCCATTTTCATCTCTTCCTATGGTTGCTTCTACTCATCAGAGAGGTTAAATATATCACATGCATTAACCTGTGGTCCCGTTCATCGTCGATTTGCTCGAGCGGGCGCCAGCAACGTCTCCAGATTAAATATAAGCTATTGTAAATAGTACATGAGTTGAACTCCGCGACACTTTGTATAAGCCCCCCAAAGTAACCGTCACTGCGATTGTGAATGGACGCGGAAATGATGCATCTTGAAAAGAGATGAGCGCCAAACGCATTATCCTCTTATCCTCTTACGCATTCTCGTAGGTGGCAGCTATATTCTATAAACGTTATGCAGAAATGCAGAAACATTGCAGCTGGAGTTCGAGGTCCAGGATGAGTGACAAGGTCACACAGGCCACACGCGGCGCAAGGCTGGGTTCCTCTGAAAAGTCCTCTTAAAACTGTTACGAATAATAGTCGCGCAACGTCGTGCGTCTTATGACCAGGTTCAAACATCAGTTAGACAATTAGAGGAGGATCCCACGATAATACCGAAGATCACAGAAGGATAAACTTATGCTTAGTAGAAAGCAGAGAAACCCAGTAAAAGGCAGACGACCCTTGTTAAGGGTCCGCAATCTATAATAGCATGGCCTTCACCACGACGTCATCGGCATGGCACGCCCACCGACTGGATGACCGCTAGCCACACATTTCTAGCCGTTCAGCAGAATTCGGTCAGAAAGTAAGGAGAGAGCACTATGGATGACGCAAGCTATGAGAGTCGCATCAATGCGGAAACCAGCAGGCAAGAAAGAGAACCATTTCATTTCGTCTCTAGGTGTTTCCCATGGTATTTCTTCACTACACCGACAACCTCTACCTTAATTCTATTGGGCTGCTCCTTTTAATCGTAAACTCCGCCATCAAAGATTCCTCCACGCGGGGTCTTTTTTGACCTACTGTAGGGGCTGGAAGGCTTCCTGGCTCCTGCAAGCTACTGCCTAGAGCAGTGAGTTTTCGAATGTTCTTAGGAGTTCTGTATGTTGTCTGAGAGGACTTCGAACCTGAAGACGCACTGCGCTTACTTTCCATGAAAGGTGTTAGCATAGCCCGGCAATAAGTTGGAGAAAGGCATAGGATAACTCTGGAGAAGCCTAGATTCACATTTCGTGGTTATATGGCTCAGAATTTGAAAGGCGATGCAGACGTACATATAAATAGCTTAAAAATTGGGCTATAGCAAAAAGTGAGGCAACTTTTGCGTGGGTGGGGAATAATTGCTGGACCGATTATTTTTAAAACTGATCTTGTCCAGGTGATGGAATATTCCTGTCACTGATCCATGAAAGTAACTGCTCAAGGATCGCCATATTCTGATCCGCTAACGCTGGGTCCGAGTTTTTCACATCGCAATTATGCGCGTTCCACCCGCCAGTGACATTGGGCGGTGAGAGAACGGTGAAACGCTTACGCTCTCACTTTCTGGACGCCTTTCCCCAGAACCTCTCCAATACCTCCTTCACCACCCTGAATTTAGCTTTTTTTTCAAAAAATAATATTCTTAATTTTCAATTCAGAAGAAAAGAAGAGTTTTTCTGGCCATTTTCTTTTTCGTCATACATTTACATCACTCTCTTCGCTCGTTGGCCTTTCTTATCTGTACGTTGATATTTCTCGCATTGTTCCGCCATCACTCCACCAATCGATCTTCAATTAGCATCCTTTATAGTAATTCAATTAGATAAAACCTACCCTGATAGTTTCAATCGAGAAAATTTGTCTATTAGATAGCTACCGAAATTTTCCTAACCAGTACACTCCAATAAGCACATTACCCTAAATGGTTTCTGTATAGCATAATTTCAATAGTTATAATCTATTACTAATGGTGTTCCAAAACGTAGTTAATCGGACAAGGTGAGGCTTTCAAAATTTTATGCAGAAATTTAAAAAGAATTCAAAGCAAGCTCAAGAGTTCCCAAAAAATTTGCAATAGTGGCAATTTTTGGAGCTTTACGGCGTTTTTGACAATTCAAAATGCAAGTTCACCAATTAGTCATTATCGAAAACAAGAAGCGAGTAATGTCGGAGGATTCGTTTTCAAATAAAATTCTATTGTCTCACCTTTGTAGAGCGTCTTTATTTCTTGTTCATGTCGCTGATTGTCGGTTATCAGAAGCCGTGTCGTATTTTGCTCAGATTTTGTAGCGTGCAAGATAGCACCAGTTCCCTTTGCCTTTCTTAGACTATCGATTAGGGTGCCGTATAGACAAGTATCCTGACCTCAGTGATAAATCCGGTTCTTGCCAGCGCTCAAGGCGATTTCTCGCAAACCTAGTGGCAGGTACTTTGCACCCTGCACCTGGTCATAGGTACCCCATTTCTGTCCGCGTTCTTTCCTTTTATTCTGCTAGTGCGTTAGATTTTGTCGTCTTCTTTGCAAACCTGAAGCGGAAAATATCTCATTTCCGCTATTAATTCTTTCCATAAGTAAAATAAATGTCGAAGATCTCCAATAAGAGTGCTGAATTACACACAGAATACTGCCCCTAGACAAGATTTGAAGCGACATTTGTCACTTCAACCGATCATACTGTGCTGACCAGAAAGGAACATCAGGTCGTGCCCAGCTTTTTCAAAACGGTACTTTATAATCTATAGCGAAAATTGCATGGAAAATAGAGCTACGCTTTATTTTTGCTGAGCAGCTCTCTAAACGGCAAAGAAGATATAAAAAATTGGCTCATGTTCTTTCGATTTCCATGGTGTCAAAGTTTTGAGTTATTTTGTTTGTTAGCTGCTGTTTTACGCAAGTTCACGATGAGAAAGTTTCAGTTTTGCCAAGGAGTGCTGAGTTCTGAGCAAAAATCTTCGCCAAGGAGGGAATGGAAACCCGCACCTCTCGTTCGATAGGATCTAACTATCTTTAGCGTTGAGAATCGTCGTCGGACTCCAGGCATTGTTGCTTATATGTAGACTGGTTTTGTTCTTTCAACGTCATTCTTCACCCACTTACTAGGATCGCATTTTGCTAGTAATATTCGTGTACAAATTTTAGGCAGTTGTACAGCTGGAGCTGATCACGACGTGTCAGAAAATTGTGTTAATCCTTGTCGACTATTGCATTTTTGAGCCTATACTTCGGCACAGTTATGCTCAACTCATTAATAAGTGTGCTTTGTCATACGTGCTAAGAGTGGAACTTCAGCAGGTTACTGATTGATTTTACAAAATCAGTCTCGTCCACTTTCCTGGAACTAAGTCGAATGCATGGCGTCCTCAGAAGGAGACCCAGATGTATGTAAGCACAATTCCGTGGGTAATCTGCGAAACTACTTGTTATAATTCCTTTACTCACTCTCTTTCCACTTCACAACAGATGTCCTTCGAGGCTGTGATAATCGTATCGGAGGGTCAGAGGCTGAATTGTTAGAGATAGGAAATACTAACGTCCTAAAGTTATAAATCTCCGATTCGAAAGGTATGCTTGTGTTCATCTGGAAGTGACTTTATCCCTGGCGTCACCCGATGGCGAAATCGGATATAGATGCTTTTCTCAACCGTTATACAGCCCTTAGTACGCTTCCGCATACTCAAAAGTGCATATCGTCTTTGGCTTACTATTGCCTAGCTGGTAGACAGGCAGACCTCCTGAGGGGGGGGGGACCGACGCGCAATTGGCAGCGAAAGATTTGACCTCGGCGATCTAGCATGGCTCACTCTTGGCGCAGTTGGCGCGGTACGCCCACCGACATAGCAGAGAGAGCGTTAGCGTTGAAGAGGGCACGATGAGAGTCGCATCAATGCGGAAATCAACGGGCAAGGAAGGGGTCCCATTTCTCGGGTTCTGGGCCGTTTCTCATGGTTTTTCCTTCTTTCGTGTACCACTCACCATCCTAACTTAATTTGAAATGGGTTGCTTTTCGGCGAAAATTTCGTCCTTTAACTGCTTTTCGTTGAATTAGTGTAGTAGCCCACCTAAGCGTGCACCAATAAGTAAATAAATAAATGAATATGCTACGGAATATATCTTGCAAAGAGTGTTTGTAGTACAAACATATAGAGAGATTTGATGTTGAGAATCTTGTTGTTTTCAAAGCTTTTTCATGTTGTAAAAGGTTGCTTTTCAAGGAAGTTGTGAGTGTGATATGTCAAATATTCGCGTACAACGAAAGTTTTCTCGCTGATTGGCATTTCGAGCAAATTCCCGCAACGGCGCTTTTTTCGCAAAGTCCTTTGCAATGTAAAGTCTTTGACACTCCATGAAGCGAAATCCTTCCTGCTTTTTTGCTGTACGGAAGAAGTGCTTATGAAGGAAGGCATGACCACCGATTATAGTGCAAATTTCACATTTCAAGAATATTTGCCGTGAACGCAATTTCGCAATTTTTGTAAAGATTTTGATTCTTGGATGTGTCAAGGACTGCACACTGCAAAAAAGCGCTTTGCGAGGAGTTTTCAGTAAAACGGTCGACTTTGTTGATTTCTTCGAGGTGATTTCATCATTTGACACGTTGGCCGCAATGTAAAAGGGTAGTAAGGATCAGGAAAGTCAAACTGGTCCGGCCCGCTCGTTTTGAAAGCGGTTTTTGAAGGAGAATTTTACCTTTTAGTCTTCAAACACTTTGTTTTATTGGTTAATTTATTCTGACTTAGATATACAGACTAGGCATTCACGCAACAGGAAAAAGAACCACTTTGCCCATGACGCACATCACCAAGCTTTTCGTCTTGCAAGGTGCCGTTGTTAGTGGAAGTCTCGTGGTAAAATATTCCTCAAAGAAAGCGATTATGGTAAAGAGGGAGCGCATAGGGGAAGCATGTGCACCACACGAATCAGTTACTTGGTTGCCAGGGAAGCGAGATCTGGCGTCCACAATGAAAGGTGCGCTGGTTGCTGAGCAGGAACTTCGAAAGCGCTCCCCCAAAGCGATCCGCCCCTAAAGCGATCCGCCCACAAGTTTACTTGTGTTGTTTGGACGAGCTGCGTGGCCAGCGGCGGCAAATGGAGCATCTCGATTAAAGCGTGGTTTGGCATGGTGCCATCAAAGCATTGCGGTGAACTCGTTCATACGTCCACTTTCTTAGCTGTTACCTGTTCATGAGTGAAAACCAACGGCCAGAAAAGGGGGTCCCGTTTTGTGTTTTCTTGACGGATTTTTCTGCTTTTTCGCTGCTGGGGTACCATTGAGCACCACCACGTCACACTAAACCCTTCTTTAATTTATCTTAACCGCTGCCTTAAATGTCTACATAGCGCAATGCGCGGCTCTCATTCAGCTTCCCTCATCTTGCTCAGAGTATTACGTCATTGTCTCCGATCGAGCTCAAAGAGGGCGCTACGTAATCGCCTGTGGTGCGTGTGGATGGGCAGTTCCTGAAGGGACATCAGCTTCGAAAGTGTGAACCTCGTCGATCGCTTTTGCCGATACGTCGCAATGGCTACGATCCGTCGAGCGACCTCGTTGTGTTCGAACCGTGCACATGTTCCTAGCGGGAAGATCTTCAGATGCCGGCGGTGTAGAAGGCTGTTGTGGATTTTCTGATGGATTAGAATTTGCTCTTCAATATTGATTTCGATGCATTCGATTTGACAAAGTGTAAATTTTCCGTATGAAATACGAAAGGAGATTGAACAGTGATTCTCCTCCCCCTTCCACTCCTGTATGTCATCCGCTCAGCATTTCTCATCTTACTTTCCGTCTGCCTGGTTTCCGATTGATATTTTCTACTGACCACCAAGGAGTTCTAAATTCCAATAATCGATCATCTAGGAAGTTCTATATCGTTAAGAGAGTATTATGTGAGATTTCAGATAACTTATGGGGGCGTTATCGAAATTCGACCAAGTGCGATTGTTGGCGTCAACGCTTACTTTCAAACAGTACGGGCCAGGTCTCTGTGGTCTTGCTGCGTTCTTTGCCGTCATAAAATGGTACAGCAAGGCTTCCAAGTGAGTTCTTTCATTTGTTCGAACACTTCACAAGCGATCAGCTGTGAAGTTGATCGCTTGCGAAGTTGTGAAGCGGAATATGACCAGCTAGCCTAAATAACATTTTCCAGAGCCTCACAGTCGAGGGTCTTTGTCACGAAGAGCGGTCAACCTTCCAAGGACAAAGCCCATGTGGATGGCGCGTTTTTCAAGAAATTGTGGCGTATACTGAAGATCCTCATTCCAACGCCTTTCAGCACGGAGGTACGGTATCCTTAGTACCTGCACGGAATTGCATAAACTATATGTTTTCAGATGTTTTATATGATATTGGTGGCCGTGTCGCTTCTATGTAGGACTTACGCTGACGTCTACATGATCATCACCGCAACAGGAATTGAGGCGTGGGTAGCTAGAAGAGATTCTGAGCGAATCTAGCGAAACATTATGGATCAATTTCAGATCTATAATCTCACGTGATCGCGCTGCAGTTTCTGATGAAGGTCTTACAATATGGAATGGCCATGCCTGCAATATCAGTGACGAACGCTGTTCTCAANGTTAGTTAGCCATTGTTTGACAGAGGTCAGGTCCTCAATTTGTAGAAAGTAAACTGTTTACTCAGGTAGCATTAGGAAAATGTAGATGCAATAGTATACGCGACCCCACGGTGGTGTCTCCCCCCCCAGTCCGGATTGAATTGTAATCGATTTGGGCACAGCTCAACAAAGCCTTCATTCCCTCAAGAGAGGTAGATTGCTAGACTGATTGTATATGCCTGACGCAACAAGATCAATGTATTGTGACACATTCTGTAATATACTGCGTTACGATTCGAGCTGGAAGTAGAATGGCACTGGCGCACCCAAAAGGTGTTGATCAGCCCCAGATTGCTTTTGCTTCCTTTTTGACACAGAAACTGCCTCTTCTAAAAAATTGGCATCGGCCTGGGTGAGTTTTTCCTTCCCTATGTGCATTCCACCAAGCATCCTTGAGATCGACTTTTCAATGTAAGGTATGACGGGCTGAAAGGAAGAAAATCGTTTACATATCACATCTATTTAGCAACCAGTACAGGTCCGGGATTTTTGAGCACTGTCTTCTGAGTGGGTTACTCACAGTCAGCGCGTTTGGGGTCACCTTCGGCTCCAGTAGAATATTGGTCATTACTGCCATTGCTTTTGGGTTAATTTACCACCTTGTTTGGCTAATGTGCCATTTTTGTTTTTGTCATCACTTTATTAGAACTATTGTTATAATTTAGTCCAGTGAGTTCGTCTGAGGTAAAGCGATCGAAACAAAGCCCCCCTTAACTAATTAATCTAATTGGAATCTTGCAATTTTTTCCGCGTTAACCCATCGAATTATTACTACCCCCACGGTCACGGATAAGGCGAAGGAGCTTCAAGCATCGAAAATTTCTATTCTACTTGCGACGATCTTTAGAGCGCTCATAATTGAGTTCGCAAGAGTGTGGCTTGATGACCGGGGGACTCGATTGCACAGGATAGGGAGTTAAGTGTAGGCACCTTTTTTGTGTTTCCAGAGCTGTTATAAATCCTTCCGTGGTGGGCATAGTAACAAATTCCATGAGTTAAAAAACAGACTCTGACTATGGCTTGCTTCATTTTCCATCATTTTTGAAATTTTGGCTTTTTTAAAATTTCTTAAAAATTGCTATTTCGCATAGCAAATGACAAAGAATCTCCAGTGAGCACTACAAATTCTCATTTGTTGAACTTCAGTTTGGAATAAGCGAGATGAAGTTGCGATTCCGTGAACGACTTACGAAACATCTCTACAGCCAGTACCTGAAGTGAGTGGCTTTTCACCTCTGATGTTTGTTTACATTGTAATAGAATATTTGAAGAGGCTTCACCTTCTACAAGATGGCGAACTTGGATAATCGAATCCTGATATGTATTTTGTCCGATCGTTCTCAGGAATATCAAATTTTGGTGACGGACTGGGTGGTCCTACTCGAATCTCACAAACGTACTTCAAAAGAAGTTTCAGCAGTGAATCCAATTTTTTTATGTCTTTATTTACTTTTTTTCTTTTTATTTACTTTATTTTTGCTCGCTAAACTTATTGCTTTCCTTTCTTTGTAGCCCATAGTCGACGTTTTGCTGTATGTGTCTCGAATTGGAAGTGCACTCGGTTGGAGCGCTCCAGTTATTCTTTTCTCCTACCTTCTCGGATCTGGCGTGTTCCTCACGTATCTCAGAAGGCCGGTGAGTCACCTGTTCTTCCCATGATATTTTCTGTTTTTCTCCGTAAACTTATGGTTATGAAGCTGAGTGTAGTTATATCCTCCCAGAAGGTGATGTTCACACCAAAGATAGTCCTGATCGTGAGAGTTGCTCAATGTCAAGACATGCAGCTTATTCCCATTTTCCCACCATACAGTTCATATTCCTTGAATTACGTCTACTTTCACATTGTGAGTGCTGTCTGTACAAGCATTCATCAGGGTCTCGAAAGGACTGCAAGTTTGAGTTATAAATGATCCTAGGAAAGATGCCAATCCTGCCCTGTTTCTCGTCAAGAGGTGTAGGTCTTGATTGTCCTCTTCGCATTTTTTCTTTTCTTTTTAGAGCAAGTTAACATCAGTTCGATATCGTTCAATTCTGTGCCTTCAAGGTACTCATATTTGGACCACCTTCGGAGATAGAGCAGTGCTAAAGATCTGACTAATCAGACTTACCGCTCTAAAAGGATGCATAATTACAGATCGGACGGCTCACAGTGCAAGAGCAGGCACTAGAAGGCGAATTCAGATTTGTGAACTCTCGACTCATTATGAACAGCGAGGAAATCGCGTTCTATCAGGTGATTATTTTTACTACGAGGAGTGTGAAATCAATTTTTATATCTTATCGATCTGGTCAAAGGTACACTCTTACATGCCTACGAGATAAAAACCTTGCTATGGGCAGTTACTGAATGCATCTATGAATTGTTCCCATGATGGGAAATGCAGGACTAAAAGTCATGATCTATCCGGTATAGGAATGGATGAACTCGGGAACAGCAGACGTATCACATTTTATAACCAGATTAGTCCCCCGTCAACCGCCGGGACCTTCCTTTCCTGCGCAAGCTTTCTATCCTCCGCTATGGTCCCTTCCTCCTGTGACACCAACACCTCCTGGAAGTGACGCGTATGCAACACAATGGTGTTTCAAACAGTAGAAGGGACACAATCATGATATGACGGTAGATTTTTCGCTTCCCTTCCTCATCCTCCCTTCCTCTCTCCACTGCCCTCCAGCTGCCACTGCAGCACCATGTGGAATGAACGGAAGTGTGCTAAGCAGGTGTTTATATAGCCCTAAGAGTGTTATCACAACTATCCTGCTACAAAACATTGATATCTCAAATCCTGTAAGCTACCCGATTTGTTAGCGGTTTGTTTATCCCATGAGCTTCCTTCTCACTCACTTCATTTTGCGGACGGACACACATACATACACACACACACACATACAGATACACAAACCGACACACAAAGTTAGCGCTTTATAAAATAGAAGGATAGAAGCTTATCACTCAAAATAATAACGTGTTGAGCCGGTTTAAGCTTGACTGGGGAAAGTTGTGTGGTGGTTTAAAATAATGTAAGTAAGATTGGTTTCGACTGCGTTCATAGCGCAACGGCTGTGCCCTCGCGCATTGAAACAGCTTGAAATGGCAACAGAACTTGCATTACGAATCCGTACATTGCACGAAGTTACATCAGAGCGAATGCTTGCCGGTCTCGCTGAATCTCCGCACGTTAACTTCTTACTCTTCGAGGATTTGGTCTCTCATACACGGTTACCACGTCTCTAACCCTACGTGTGCATAGCAGCGATGCTCAGTTACGCTAGCATCGATGTTCACAATGAACAGCATCAAATAGTCTTATTTAGAGCATTCAAGGCTTTTCCTTTGCTTTCCTTCAGTGTAAGCCAATTGACACCTATGCTCACACTCAATCCCAACCATCCCCTTTCTCCAGTTGCGCCTTTAGTGACAATAGCAAGCAATGGAACCACGGAGCCCCGATCGTACTCATTGATTTAATCTCAGGCTTGAATTTTTTTGGAAGTAGGTTTCAACCGTTTCGCTTATTTGTGGAGGAATCATGCTATTTCAGGGCAATGATCGCGAACGGACAACACTATTAGGCTCATTCGCGAACCTTGTCAGTCATCTCAGGAAAGTAATCCTCTTCAGGTAGGTGTTCAATCACTTGTGTCTGTAATTCCAGCAACGCTGACTGCGAAGTTCGGATAAATTCGTCATGGTTCCAGATTTTCCATAGGATTTGTGGACAATATCGTTGCCAAGTACGCTGCTACTGTCATTGGATGGTATGCTGTTGGGCGACCATTTTTCAATCACAAGAACGAGTTCATCAACGGGTTGAGCAGGAATCAGCTTATTCAGGCTAGTGATTTTTTAGAATCAAGCAGCCTTAAAAACACTAATTCCGCTTTTATTCTGTAGGAATACTACAACTCCGGTCGAATGATGCTGAAACTCGCAGAAGCTCTTGGTCGCTTGGCTTTGGCTGGCCGAGAACTGACTCGACTCTCCGGATTCACGACAAGGGTGGACACCTTGTTGAATGTTCTGGGTGATTTGACTAATGGTAAGCGGCCAGTCTACGGCTCTCTTCTTCTTCTTATCCCTAGCGAGAATTATGCGCCATTTCAAAGTCCGCTGCTCTTGTTAGATGTCGCCACTTCTCCCATTCAAGACATCTTGTGCCGTTGCGTTCAATTCGCTAAGGCTTTCCTTGACAACCTCCCCCCCCTTCTTAAGGCTCCTCGTCGCATGCCATGCCCTTTGCAGGCCAGTCCCATTTAGCTGACGATTCTGTGGCCCTTATGGCTAGCTATACGAACCATCTCTGCGTGATCGCCATGACGTCCTCGTTTATGATATCAGCGCATGCTCATCTCATTCTCATTTGAGTGGAGTAAAGCTACCCTTCATGGTATAAGCCCATGGGCCAGAATTAGTTACTGTAGCGCGTTGCGGCCCTACCACAGTCTGGTACGGTTTACTTATAATGATCAAGATAGCTGGAGGGTGGTACGGTGTTGATGATTTCATAGAGCTTCTTCGGAAGCAGGGACCCTAGCTAGGGAAGGAGGTCCCCACCCCAGCCCTAGCTCGATGAGGGATCTAGTCCACTAGTGACGTTCTACAGGTCGTCAAAACCGTACCGTCCTCCTTCCATTGTATTCAGCACTTGCGGACACTCTCAATCACAACGGATATTAGGTGGGTATCTCCATCAGATCCGGTTCCCCATTAATCCAGGCATTCACGGAAAGTCTTCACTGTCCTCTTCTTCTTCTTCCTACCGTAGCTCAGAACCTCAG